AAAATTTTTTTTTGAAAAGTTCACTATATGGAAAATTTTAATTATTGATACTAGACCTATGGTTCTTAGACATAAATTATGTAATTTGATCTGCCTAACAAGTTCTATTAGTAGTGTTTACATACTAGCTAATAATTTTAGTGAAGGAGATATAAACTTTGTATATCAAAAAACGTGATCTGCAAGAAAATTTTCATAACAAAAAAATGGGTATTTTTACATTTTACACATATTATTTTCTTACCTGTTATATGTAACCCCCAAATAAATTTTTTTAATAAAAGTATGGGGTTTTGAATATCATTTATGAAATAAGAAAGATTGTGGTGAGACCACAGGAAAATATCTTTTTTTATATACTACTTTTTTAATAATTAATTTCCGTTAACGGAAATTAATTATTAAAAAAGTAGTATAATTTTTGAGTCACAATTGTAAATTTAGACCATATTTGGTCTAAAAATCGTTTAAGGGATAATGATATTTGATCTGCAATGTCCTGCGACCGTGATATTAATATTATCTTGAAGTGTCTCCATTAAGCCAATCAGGGTTTCAATATTTACCCTCAAAACCATACACTCCCTGGACAAAAGTTTCGGTCACTACAAAACAATTAATTACGCAAAAACGTACATAATAAAACACAAATAAATTTCATCAAATTGTGACCAAAAAGTTTGCAAGAATATGTATGCAAAATTTCAAATTTTTGTAATGTTTGTGAGAATAACAGTTAAAAAAAAATAAAAAGTTCGACCAAAAATCTTCTGAAAAATTGTAGTTTGCCAAAAAAAAACAGTTTCTCAGAAACTTACATAATAACCACACCTGAAATCGTGACACATGAAAGATTAGATTCTGAAAAATCACGTCATGTTTTTTATACAAGTTTTTTTGTAAAAAATTGTTTTGAAATTTTGATAAAATTAAAAAATGTCAAGCAAAAATCGTCAAAATTGGATTGAAACAAAAAAGTAAAAATTTTGAAAAATTGGCCAAGCCAATCTCCTGATTTGAATCCAATAGAGCATCTGTGGAATCAATTAGAAATTCGTATTCGGAAACGTCCAAATAAATTTAAAAATAATGTTGAACTTGAGACCGCTTTACATGAAGAATGAAATCAAATTCCTAGAAATATTTATATGAATTTGATAGAAAGTATGCCGAGAAGAATAGAAGCTGTTATATCCAATAATGGACGGCCAACAAAGTGTTGACTTGCATACAAATAAGTAAAATTTCGGGTATAGTTATTATGTGCGTTTTTTTTTTTTTGAGAAGTGGTATAAATACTTGCAAATAAAATCAAAATTTTAGAGATCATTTCCAAAAAATTATTTTTGGTCGAACTTTTTATTTTTTTAACTGTTATTCTCCCAAACATTACAAAAATTTTTAATCGCAATTTGATGAAATTTATTTGTGTTTTATTATGTAAATTTTTGCGTAATTAATTGTTTTGTGGTGACCGAAACTTTTGTCGTCTTAATATTAAGTTAATTTAATAGTAGCCGAAATTATTCCGAAATTTTTATAGCATAGTTGTTATTATTATAAATTATAATAAAACAAAACTATGGTCCGGTGTACCGTCATCGTTTAATTAGTTTCGTGTAATAATAATAATTTTTTTAATTTAATTTGTGATTTCATCTAATACTAAAAATTTTTAGACGTTTGATCAACATTTTTTTAAAAAAAAAAATTTTTTAAAAAATGTCTTCTCTAAAGAAAAGAAACATTTCAAATACAGTAATTGATGAAAGTTTGACTAAAACAGATTTGAAGGCACAAAAAGGAAAGACGTGGGGTCGAGATAAAGGTATTTGCAAATTTTTCGTTCAAATTATCGAGTTAAATTTAAATTTAATTTTTTTAATTTCCTAATTTCATACTTTTACGTGCTTGAATGTATAGATATAACATATATCACTGTATTCTTTTCAGCAATTATAATTATTTGTTGTCCAATTCTTGTGACATTATTTTGGACCATTTGTACTCACTATCAATGTTCATTTTACGAGCCAATTCATCTTTTTGAAATGATGGAATTTTCCAAGGAATCTTTTAATGAGTATTTTCTACAGAAACTACCAAGTTTTTCGTGGGAAGGGCTGCAGATTTATTTTGGATGGCTGATTTTCCAAGGATTACTTTATGCATTTTTACCAGCCAAAATTGGTTATGGACAACAAACACCAGCAGGACATATTCTACCATATAAAGTAATTTTATTATGATGATGACTATAATAATTTGTTTATATTATTCATAAATGCAAATATAATTAAATATAGGTGAATGGGCTTTTGGCATGGGTTATAACGCATTTGATCTTTATTTTTGGAGCATTTTATTTTGAATTATGGAAAGCATCAATCATCCATGATAAATGGGGAGAATTGTTTGTAGCAGCAAATATCTACGGGTTTTTCCTTACATTCTTTGCTTACATCAAAGCATATGTAAGTCCATCACACCCAGAAGATCGTAAATTTTCTGGTAGTTTTATCTATGATCTATTGATGGGTATTGAGATGAACCCAAGATTTGGGAAATATTGGGATTTCAAACTGTTTCATAATGGAAGGCCTGGAATAATTGCTTGGACCTTAATAAATCTCTCATTTGCTGCTGCTCAATATAACAAAATTGGTATTATATTAATTTTTTGGTGTGATGGATTTGATCATATTAATTACTATACATATTCATATTTTGCATGTGTATATATTTAGGGTATGTAACGAATTCAATGATTTTATTGAATTTTTTGCACTTGGTTTATGTTTTGGATTTCTTTTATAACGAAGATTGGTATCTTAGAACAATTGGTAAATATTCTGTTACATACATATAATAAATGTATATATAAAATATAAACATAATATGTATGCACATATATAAATATTAGATATTGCACATGATCATTTTGGATTTTATTTATCATGGGGTGATACTGTATGGCTTCCGTGGATGGTAAGGCTTTTAATATTGTATTTAGTTATAATGATTCTGTTATTTCACACACACACATATATAAATTTGTATATTTGTATAGTATACAATACAATCACATTATTTAGTTAGAAATACAGTAGATTTGCCCTGGTTGAATTTCTTTGTTATTCTATCGATTGGATTGGCAGGATATTATATTTTTAGAACAGTCAATCATCAAAAAGATGTTGTAAGAAAAACCAATGGTAATTGTAAGATTTGGGGAAAACCAGCCAAAGTTATCAAAACACAATATTTAACAAGTGATGGAAAAATCCATTCAAGTCTTTTACTTGTTAGTGGATACTGGGGCAAGTATTAATTATAATAATGTTGACAATTAGAGGGATTCATTTAACAATTTTTTTTCTATGGGAAAATCAATAAAAACAGGAATTTCACGTCATTTCAATTATGTTGGAGATTTATTGATTTCTTTTGCCATGTGTCTTACCTGTGGATTTAATCATTTATTACCTTACTTTTATATAATCTACATGACGATTTTGCTGGTTCATCGTATTTGGAGAGATGATGCACGTTGTAGGGGGAAGTATGGTAAATTTTGGGAAGAATATGGGAAGATTGTCAAATGGAAATTATTTCCGGTGAGATTTTTTAAAAATTATATTCTTTGGAAGATATATTTATTAAAGAAAAAATTTTAAAGGTTTTTATTTTTGGATAATTTTAGTATATATATTGATGGAATGTGATGTGTGATTGGTGAGTTAATTGAGGTGGGTTAATTGATTTATGTATGTGATGGTGTATTTTTACTGCATTTAAAATTATTATTATAGAAACATTAAATATGAAAAGCTTTTTTACAAATTAATATAAAATAATGACTATGTTACAAAAAGAAAATTAGTAAAATCTATTAAAATCTAAATTTTTTTAGAAAATTAAATCTATTTGATTTTTTATTGAAAGCCACAGTAGATCCACTCATTCCATCATCAAAAGAATTTTCAACATTTAATAAATTTTTATTCTTATTATTATTCTCATTGTCTGTTATTTTAATTGTATAATCACCATTCCTTATTGATGGTGTTGTTGATCTATCAATTGTAGGTGAATATAATATTTTTGGTGTTGATGGAACATTACTATTATTACTATTATTACTATTAATCATATTATTGTTGTTGTTATTAATGGGCGATGATGGAGTATCATTAATTTTTGCTGGATAAAATATTAACATTAAAGAGACAAATACAGCCCAAATTGAAAAATTCAATTGAGCCATAAGTAAATCTGCATAGATTTTGGTGGTATTTAAATATTTGGCTGTTGTCAATCCATCAATTGATAACACTGTAAGTGATGCTGATCCTGAAAGCAATCCCAATGTTAAATATTGATTCATATACTATTACGAGTAAATAAATAAATTAATTAATTAGAACAATTTTTCCTTAAAGGAAACGAAATAAAATTAATTATTAATACTTACTCTGAAATAATTTAATTTACTGAGAACATTGACTGTTGGATTTAGGCGTCTTGTTTGCATTAATAGTTTTTTAAATCTATGATCAGATCTAAATCCTAGCAATGCAATTATCAACATAATTATACCGTATGCAAATTGTGGTGCAATCTCAGAATTTAATTGATTTGACGAGAAAAAAAATTGTAATGTAGGGAAGAGAATTGCGCTGCATATTGAAAACACAATATATAATTTAAATTCTAGAATGATTTGGAAGAAGTCAATTATTAGCT